CAAGGTTCATCCATGTTGTAGCGTGTATCAGTACTTCATTTCTTTTTTATGTCAGATTAAGATTTCATTGTATAGATTATCACCTTTTGTTCATCCATTCATGCACTGGTGGACATTTATGTTTTTCTACCTTTTGACTATTATGAATAATGATGCTATAAACATTTATGTACAAATTTTTGTGTGGACATGTTTTCTCTTGGGTATGTACCTAGGAGTGGAATTGCTGGGTCATGTGGTACTGTTATGGATTGAATTGTGTCCCCCAAAAATATGTGTATCAGTATGGCTAGGTCACAATTCCCAGTATTGTGTGATTGTCCACCATTTTGTCATCTGATGTGATTTTCCTATGTATTGTAAATCCTATCTCTGTGATGTTAATAAGGTGGGATTAGCAGCAGTTATGTTAATGAGGCAGGACTCAATCTACAAGATTAGGTTGTGTCTTAAACTAGTCTCTTTTGAAATATAAAAGAGAGAAGTGAGCAGAGAGACATGGGGACCTGATACCACCAAGAAACAAGAGCCAGGAGAATAGCACGTCCTTTGGACCCGGGGTCCCTGCACTGAGTAGCTCCTCAGCTGGGGAAGATTGATGACAAGGACCTTCCCCCAGAGCAGACAAAGAGAGAAAGCCTTCCCTTGGAGCTGACACCCTAAATTTGCACTCACTAGACTCTGAGAGAATAAACTGTTTGTTGAAGCCATCCACTTGTGGTATTTCTGTTACAGCAGCACTAGATAACTAAGACAGGTTCCTCTATGTTTAATCGTCTGAGGAACTGCCAGACTTTTTTCCAAAGCAGCTGCAACATTTTACATTCCCACTAGCAGCATATGAGGATTTCAGTTTCTTCACATCCTCTCAAACACTAGTTATTATCGATCTTTTTTTATTATAAGCATCCTTATAGGTATAAAATAGTATCTCATTGTGGTTTTGGTTTACATTTCTCCGATGGCTAATGCTATTGAGCATCTTTCATATGCTTATTGGCCAAATGTATAGCTTCTTTGGAGAAATGTCTGTGGAAATCCTTTGTCCATTTTTTAATTGTCTTTTTATTATTGAGTTATAAGAGTTCTTTATGTATTCTCGGTGTAAGTCCCTTATCCAATATATGATGTACAAATATTTTCTCCCGTTCTGTGGGTTTCCACTTCACTTTCTTGATGGTATTCTTTCAACACAAAAGTTTAGTGTGCTTTTGATGTAGTCAAATTTATTTCTTTTTTCTTTTGTTGCTCATATTTTTGGTGTCCTATCTAGGATCCTTTGCCAAATTCAAGGTCATGAAAATTTACCCACATATTTTCTTCTAAAAGTTTTAGTTCTTACATTTAGGTCTTTGATTCATTTTGAGTTAATTTTTGTGTATGGTATAAGGTAAGAATCCAACATTATTCTTTTGCATATGGCTATCCAGTTGTACCAGCACTATTCTTTCCCGATTGTATCGTCTTGGCACCCTTGTTAAAAATCCATTGACCATAGTGTATGGATTTATTTCTGGGCTTTCAATTATTTTCCATTGATCTATATGTCTATCCTTGTGTCAGTACCATATTGTCTTGATTACTGTTGCTTTGTAGTAAGTTTTGAACTGGAAACTGTAAGTCCTCCTGTTTTGTTCTTTTCAAGATTATTTTGGCTATTTTGGGTCCCATGCAATTACATGTGAATTTTAGAATCAGCTTGTCAATCTCTATAAAGAAGCCAGCTAGGGATTCTGATGGGGATTGGACTGAATCCATAGATCAGTTTGAGGAGTATTTTCGTCTTAACAATGTTAAGTCTTCTGATCTATAAGCATGGGATGTTTTCCAATTATTTAGATCTTTTCTAATTTCTTTCAACAATGTTTTGTAGGTCAGAGTATAAGTTTTGTACTTCTTTTATTAAATTTACTCCTTGGTGTTTTTTTCTTTTTGATGCTACTGTTAATGGAATTGTTTTTAAATTTTATTTTCAGACTGTTCTTTGTAAGTCATTAGAAATAGAATTAATTTTTGTATATCAATCTTGCATCCGGTAACCTTGCTGAACTCATTTATTAGTTCTAATAGTTGTTTAGTGGATTTCTTATGATTTTCTGTATACAAAATCACATCATCTGCAAATAGAGAGTTTTACTTCTGTCTTCTCATTCTGGATGCCTTTTTTCTTTTCTTGCCTAATATCCTCCATTATAATGGCTAGAACTTCCAATATAATGTTGAATAAAAGTGGTGATAGTGGACATCCTTCTCTTGTTCCTTGTCTTAGGGAAAAGCATCCAGTCTTTGACCATTAAATATTATTTTAGCTGTGGATTTTCATGTTGTTGTTGTTGTTAGGTGCCGTTGAGACTGTGTACCACAGAATGAAATACTGCCCAGTCCTGTGCTATCCTCACAATCGTTGCTATGATTGAGCCCATTGTTGTAGCCACTGTGTCAATTCATAGGTGCCCTTTACTAGGTTGAGGAAGTTCTCCTCTATTTCTAGATAATTGAGTGTTTTTATCAGAAAAAGGTGTTGGATTTTGTCAAATACTCTTTCTGTGTCTATTGAAATGCTTTTTTTTTTCCTTAATTTTATTGTGGCAAAAATATATAACAAAAAATTTGCCTTTTAACCATTTTTAAGCATACAATTCACGATATTACTTTTACCGTGTTGTGCTACCATCACCACTATTCATTTTCAAAAGTTTTACATCACCCTAAACAGAAACTCAGTACCCCTTCAGCAGTAACTCCCATTCCCTCCTCCCCCTATCCTCTGATAACCACTAATAAACTTTGGTCTGTATGCATTTGCCTATTCTGGATATTTTATGTGAATAACCTAGAATATTTAGATACATTCTGAATCATACAGTATTTGTTCTTTGGTATATGACTTATTTCACTCAGCATAATGTTTTCAAGGTTCACCCATGTCATAGTAGCATCTATCAGAACTTCTTTTGTCTTTATAGCTAAATAATATTCCACTGTATGTATATACCACATTTTTTTAATCCATTCTTCTATTAATGAACACTTGGATTTTTTCCATCTTTTGGCTATTGTGAATAATGATGCAATGAACATTGCTATCAACATATCTGTTTGAATCCCGGCTTTCAAATCTCTTGGGTAGATACCTAGGCATGGAATTGCTGGATCATATGGTAATTAACTTTTTGAGGAACCACCAAACTGTTTTCTGTAGCAGCTACACTTACATTCCCACCAGCAATACATGAGGGTTCCAGAGTCTCTGCATCCTTGTTAACACTTGTGATTATAGCCATACTGGTGGGTATGAAGGTCCCTGGGTGGCACAAGTGGTTTGCAATCGGCTGCTAACCTAAAAGTTGGCAGTTTGAACCCAGCAAGCAGCTCCACAGAAGAAAGCCCTGGCAATTTGCTACCATAAAGATTACAGCAAAGAAAACCCTATGGAGAAGTTCTGTTCTGTAACATATGGGGTTGCTGTGAGTCAGATCGAACTGATGGCTACAGGAGTGGGGTGTGAGATAGTACCTCATTGTGGTTTTGATTTGCATTTCCTTAATGACTAATGACCTTGAACATCTTTTAATGTTATTTTTTTTTTATTATTGTATTGATATGAGGTATCACATTGGTTGATTTTCTTATGTTGAACCAGCCTTGCATCCCTTAGATAAATCCCACTTGGTCATGGTGTATAATTCTTTTTATATGTTGCTGAATTTGGTTTGCTCGTATTTTGTTGAGGATTTTTGTGTCCATTTTCTTAAGACATATTGGTCTGTGGTTTCCTTTTCTTGAGATATCTTTGTCTGGTTTCAGTATCAGGGTAATACTAGCTTCATAGAATGTTTGGGAAATGTTCCCTTCGCTTCTGTTTTTTGGAAGAATTTGTGAAGAACTGGTATTAAATCTTTAAGTGTTTGGTAGAATTCTACTGTAAAGCCATCTGAGCCTAGCTTTTCTTTGTGGGAAGTTTTTGTTTGTTTGTTTTTGTTTTTTATTACCACTTCAATTCCTTCACTTGTAATAGGTTTATTTGGATTGTCTATTTCTTCCTGAGTCAGTTTCAGTAGTTTGAGTCTTCCATTTCATCTAAGTTATCTATTTATTTGGCATAGAGTTGTTCACAGTATTCTGTTATAATGCTTTTTATTTCTGTAGGGTCAGAAGTAATACCCCTTCTTTCATTTCTGATTTAGTAATTTGAGTCTTCTTTTTGTCAGTCTAGCTAAAGGCATGTCAATTTTGTTGATCTTTTCAAAGAACCAACTTTTGGTTTCATTACTTTTTCTGTATTGTTTTTCTGTTCTTATTTCATTAATTTCTACTCTCATCTTTATTATTTTCTTACCTCTTGCTTTAGGATCAGTTTGTTGTTCTTTTTCCAGTGTCTTAAGGTGGAAGCTTAGGTTATTGACTTGAGATCTTTCTTCTTTCTTAATATATGCATTCACAGTTATAAATTTCCCTGTAAGCACTACTTTAGCTGTATTCCAAAAGGTTTTGGTATATTGTGCCTTCATTTTCATTCATCTCAGAGTATTTTCTGATTTCCATTTTGATTTCTTCTTTAACCCATTGGTTATTTAAGAGTGTGTTGTTTAATTTCCACATATTTGTGGGATGAGGGGCTGGAAATTCCCCCATGGTTTGATAGGGAAACATTCCACATATGCTTTGGCAGAAGGAATGTCTACAAATGACATGTTGTTACACTTTGAAGATTAAATCATGGGCCCCAGAGTAGTTTGGATTCATACTGTACTGTTTTTATTTTTTGGACTTAAAGTTCTCTAAAACTTTTCTGTAAATTAAAAAAACTACTGTTAAACCTTAGATATTCTTTATGTTTATGAAAATTTGAGGCTCAGGCAGTTTAGGAATTGGACAGAACTTTATTCTGGTCATTAAAAGGAGTGTTTAATTTTTGTTTATTCTGATAATCTAATTAATCCATTAAGTAAAATTGTCTTTAAATATAAAACTTTCTCACAGGTTGTATTTTATTTAAGGTAAACCAGGCTACATGCCAGCTACCTGAAAATACTTTCATCATAAATGAACTCTCGAATTGGATTGATTTTTCTGCTGAGGTATACAGAAGATTCTTTTGGAAAATGAACTTGGTAATTATTGCACGTTTAAAGGGGAAATTAATAATTAACCAGTGACTTAATATGGGCATTTCTGCTATAGCTTTCTATACAAATTTCTGAAAAACATCTCACTCTGCAAAACTGTACAATAAAAATACCAGGGATTAAGGCAAAAGCAAGACAGACCCCTCAAAACCTATGTAGTTTTATAGCCAGAGTACTAACAGGAAGGATAATTGATACCTGGGGAGATAACTTGGGTCAACCAGGCAAGCAGCTTATGGAGACTGCCGTGAGAATAAGAAAAATACACAAAGCAAGAGTGGAAGTCTATGCACACTTTAATTAGAAAAAGACTGGTGATAGTGAGATAACACAGATGGAGTGGAGCTCTGAGCTCGTGATTCTGCTGTTAATGTAAGCACAAAGGCGGCGTGCGTCCCCAGGAGCAAAGAGCTGGCAAGGTAGAGGTGCAACTTTGAGAAGGGTGCTCTGAGCATAGGGACTCCTTTTTTATTTATTTTCTTAAAATATAGCTAGAGGCTCCTGCTGCCACTGCAGCGCTGACCTGAAGTTTTTCCCTTTTCTCTGAAGGTTATAATTCTGCTCCTTCTAGCCCATCAACCCTTACCCAGCAAAAATCATGTATGAGCTAAATAGCTTTCTGAATTACATCATCCCTCTATACCAAACACATCTAAGTTCACTCACATTATAGAAACACAGGTTGCAGCAGATCTGACTTTTTGAGAAAGTGTTCGAAGTTTATAATTAATTGCTAAATTAAATGGGCGTATTAGGGTTATATACCTTCCATTGATAACTATGAAACACATTTTCTTAGAATTCTATATATCTAAATATTAAAAAACAAAACAAAACAAACAAACCCAAACCTGTTGCTGTCAAGTTGATTCTGACTCATAGCAACCCTATACGACAGAGTAGAACTGCCCCATAGGGTTTCCAAGGAGCAGCTGGTGGATTTGAACTGCCAACCTTTTGGTTAGCAGCCGAGCTCTTAACTACTGGGCCCCATTTAAATACTACTGACTGGCAATTTGGATTGCTTTGGCGAGAGGTACTGAGATCTTAAACTGTCATGGATTTAAGGCTATAAGGTAAGGTATAAGATTTCTCTACCCTTTAGTTTATTAAAATTATTGTCGTTTCCATTTTTAGGAAACTTCAGTAGACATCACATGTTCTGTCATAATCAGTCACTTTCCATTTGTCTTTAATAGTCTGTCAAAAATTAAACTATTTCGTGCTGACTCAGAGTTTAAAATGAAGGTATGTATGCCTATTTCTTTTTTTGTCTTAATTAACATAATTCACATGATGAGTGTAGTCTTATGCATGTGATATTTTGGTTATAAGGGAACTAGTGGTGAAACTAATGATCATAGATAGCATTCATGGAGCTTATACTCTAATGCAGAAGGCAAGGCAGACTTACAATTTGAGTTGGCTAGGCTTTGAAGCATATTAGGGCCTCAGCAGCAAAGGATACAGCTTGGGCAACTGACCTAGTTGTAGGTCTTTCAGTAGCCTATAGTCTCTTGAATAGTACTCACAGAAGCATAGCATACTTGGGCTACATTGGGACTAGCACCAATATTTAAGGCGGTCTGATCTAATTAAAAGACATGGCAGCAGGAATAGAGGTGGCAGGGGATTCTTGAAATCAGAATGCAAAGACATTATGGCCTTTAGGTCCACGAAGATTAAAAAAAAAAAAAAAAAAAAACCTTTGCCATTGAGTCGATTCCAACTCATAGTGACCCTAATAGGACAGAGTAGAACTACCCCATAGGGTTTCCAAGAAGTAGCTGGTGGATTTGAACTGCCGACCTTTTGGCTAGCAGCCAAGCTCTTAACCACTGTGCCACCAGGGCTTCCCATTAAGATTAGGACCCCAATAAATGGTTGGTATTCTGTGATGGTGCCATAATAAAGGTTTGTGAAAAGTGCCCCTTTTTAACATACTGTCAACTGGATAAGTACTCCCTGAGAGTGAATACTGAATGTATAGCTTGTCTCCAGTGGTGTCTATAAAACCCTTTTCACAAATGCTTCTGATGTGCATATGTAAACTCAACCAATTTATTCCACTTTATAAATTTCTACTTAGAGACCACCGATGGAGAAATGAAATAAAACATTTCTGTTTTTCCAGGTGAAAGAACAGAGAGCTTTTATGAGGTTGCCAGAAACTGTAGCACTTGGAGGGTCTTCACAGCCCACCTTCAATCTAACCGTCAGAAGGAATCACTTGGTTGAGGATGTTTTTAATCAGCTAAATCAGTCTGAGAATAAAGACTTCGAGAAGCAGTTATGGGTAAAGTATAATTCTCAATATTTTTGTTTTTGAGAAAAGTAAAAAAAAAAAAGTAACAAAGTGTTTCACAGAGGGGAAATTATCTCTCTTTTCCACTGAGGTCGCCTGACTTGGGGTTTCCTTAATTCCCCAGTTACTACATAGACCAAGAGGAATGTACTTTGGGCATGTTGTCAGGAGGGAACAGTCCTTGGAGAAGGACATCATGCTTGGTAACGTAGAGAGTCAGCAAAAAGAGGAAAATCCTCGGCAAGATGGATTGACACAGTGGCTGCAACAATGGACTCAAACGTAGCAACAATTGTGAGGATGGCACAGGACCTGGCAGTGTAGCAGATCTTTGGAAATCTGTCTGTCGATCAGGAGAGAGGATAGAAGGTTCAGTGCCTGCAAGTGATAAGTGAAGTTTAAAAAGAAAACAAGGATCCTGGGAAAGAGCAGAAAGAAAGGGCAGAAGTCTCAAGATAGAACAGCTGGATTAAGCCAGCAAGGAAAAGAAAGAAAGAAAAACTTGAAAATACTTAATAAGAGAAAATAGAACAAGGGAATACTGCGTGGTTTAAAGTCAGGAAAGGTGTGCATCAGGGTTGTATCCTTTCACCATACTTATTCAAACTGTATGCTGAGTAAATAATCCAAGATCTGGACTATATGAAGAAGAACGGGTCATCAGGATTGGAGGAAGACTCATTAACAACCTGTGATATGAAGATGACACAACCTTGCTTGCTGAAAGTAAAGAGGACTTGAAGCACTTACTGATGAAGATCAAAGACCACAACCTTCACTATGGATTACACCTCAACATAAAGAAAATAAAAATCCTCACAACTAGACCAATAAGCAACATCACGACAAATAGAGAAGAGATTGAAGTTGTAAAGCGTTTCATTTTACTTGGATCCACAGTCAACACCCATGGAAACAGCAGTCAAGAAATCAAATGACTCATTGCATTGGGCAAATCTGCTGCAAAAGACCCCTTTAAAGTGTTAAAAAGCAAAGATGTCACCTTGAAGGTAAGGTATGCCTGACCCAAGCCATGGTGTTTTCAATTGTCTCATATGCATGTGAAAGCTGGACAATGAATAAGGAAGACTGAATAAGAATTGACGCCTTTGAATTATGGTGTTGGCAAAGAATATTGACTATCCCATGGATTGCCAAAAGAATGAACAAATCTGTCTTGGAAGAAGTACAGCCAAAATGTTCCTTAGAAGCAAGGATGATGAGACTACATCTTACAGACTTTGGACATGTTATCAGGAATGATCAGTCCCTGGAGCAGGACATTATGCTTGGTAAAGTAGAGGGTCAGCGAGAAAGAGGAAGACCCTCAACAAGATGGACTGACCCAGTGGCTGCAACAATGGGCTCAAGCATAACAACAACTGTGAGGATGACGCAGGACCAGGCAGCATTTCATACTGTTGCACATAGGATCACTATGAGTCGGAACCTACTCAACGGCACCAAAGAACAATGACAACAAGAGAAAACAAGGGAGAAAAGAATTCCAAGAGGAGGTAGTAGTATAAAATGAGTTAGTGAAATCAAGGAGATGAGAAATGAGAAAAAGTCCTTGGAGTTGGGGGTTAACAGGTTCTTGGTCATCTTGGAGAGAACCGTTTAAGTAGAGAAATAGGTTTGGAAATTGGTGTACATTCTTCTCTGAAGTTTGGAAACCTAGGGTTGAAGGAGTCTATATTGTCTATATTAGAGACAATCGTGTTGAGTTTTGTTGTTATTGTTGTTTTTAGTAAGGATAAGGGAGACTCTAACACACTTGTAAGCTGAAGTGAAGGATTCCAAAAAAGAAAAGCAGGAATGGGGGAGTAATTGAAGGACCAAAGACGGGTTAAGATGGAATCATCTTGGGAAGGGATTGATGTCAATATGTGGGATGCTACCTCTGTAAGGAATAAACAGCCAAGCTAGGAACTTGTCTTAGTCATTTAGTATTGCTGTAACACAAATACCACAAATAGATGTCTTCAACAAAAAGAAATTTATTCGCTCACAGTCTAGAAGGCTAGAAGGCCAAATTCAGTGTGCCAGCTCCAGGGGAAGCCTTTCTGTCTTTCGGCTCTGGAGGAAGGTCCTTGTCCTCAGTCTTCCCGTAGTCTAAGAGCTTCTCAGTACAGGGACCCTGGGTCCAAAGGACAGGCTAGTCTCCTGGCTCTTGTTTCTTGGTGGTATGAGGTCCCCGTGTCTCTCTGCTCGCTTCTCTCTTTTATATCTCAAAAGAGATTGGCTCAAGACACAATCCAATCTTATAGATTGAGGCTTACCTCGTTAACATAACTGTGCTAATCTCACCTCATTAACATCACAGAGATAGGATTCACAACACCTAGGAAAATCACATCAGATGACAAAATGGTGGACAATCACACAATACTAGGAATCATGGCTTAGCCAAATTGATACATATATTTTTTGGGGACACAATTCAATCCATGACAGAACTCATATAAATAAATACATTATGTATTTTTATGAAAATCCTAATATTTATGATTTATGTTTATTCTCATTATACTTAATGTACCTGATGACTATTATAGTGATACCAGTGAAGGTCAATTTAGTAGTAAAGGCCTCAGGCTTTGAGGTTTAACAGACATAGGATTAAATCCAGGCTGTACCACTTAGCTGTTGTATAACCTTGGGAAATTTATTTAAACTCTTTTGAAGCCTCATTAGCCTCATAGAATTGATGGGAAGATTAAATGTGATAATACAAATTAGATGCTTACCATAGTGCCTACCAGATACTTGGGACCACAAATAATGTTATCTTCTAGAGTTACTAAATATAGCAATATAGAGCCCTGAAAGTAATGGTTTATTTACTCTCTTTCCTCAGGTTTCATTTAGTGGAGAAGTTAACTACGGCTTCGGAGGAGTCAGATCAGAGTTCTTCCACTGTATATTTGAAGAGATGACCCGGCCAGAATATGGGATGTTCATGTATCCTGGAGAGGCTCCCTATATGTGGTTTCCTGTCAGGGTGAGTCTTCTTTTCTTTGCTTATCATGTTTTGTGACAGAAAATGTATGTCATAGCAAATTAGGTTGTCTAGAGTGTTTCATATTAGGAGAGGCGTTAATGATATAATTGTGGAGATAATCTTCAATTCTAATAAGGTGATTACTTTCTTTAAAATGGATTCCCCTTTCCCTGGGTTCTCATGTTTGTCCACACAGAAGAATTTTGACCATTTATAGAATGTATAAGGTCCCTAGGTGGTGCAATGTTTTGTGCTCGACTACTAACCTAAAGGTTGGTGGTTCAAACCCATCCAGCGTTACCACAGTACCACAGAAGAAAGACCTGGAGATCTCCTTCCATAAGGATTACAGCCAAGAAAACTGTATGGAGCAGTTCTACAATGTAACACATTTAGGTCATCATGAGTTGGAATCAACTCAGCAGTAACGAGGGTTTTTTTTAATATAAAATATATAGATAAAAATGAACCCTTCCTTTCTCAGTTACTCATTCCTTGTTTCAGTTTCATTTTTTTCAGATGAATTTGAAGACAAAGGCTATGAAAATAAAATGTGAAAACTAGTTTGTAAGGATTCCTGGCCTAATGTGTTTCTATTCCTGTTGAGTTCTAGTAACCAAAACTATAGCAGGGATTTAAATTGACTTAATGATTTAATATAAACTGTAAATATTCTAATCTCAAGCTTTCTGGTTTTGATTTGTGATCTGATTTTAGGAAAGGGGAGAAAGGTTTACCTAATAAAAATATTCCATTGTATTGGCAAAAATTCACAATACTTTAAGAGTTTTTTCCCTCTTTTTTCAGCCTAAATTTGAGGAGAAGAGATATTTCTTCTTTGGGATACTATGTGGGCTTTCCCTATACAATTTCAATGTTGCCGACATTCCTTTTCCTCTGGCACTGTTTAAGAAACTTCTGGACCAAACACCATCATTGGAAGACTTGAAAGAACTCAGTCCTGTTTTGGGAAAGTAAGTAACCATAGCTCTTTTTTCAGAACGCAATTTAACATATTTAGATACATATTTAAACACACACATATACACCAATAATATTTTCATGTTCAACAGTAACATACTAGACAATTAAATCGTTTTTATCTTTGGCAAGAGTTGTTGGATAATAATTTAACTTTCTAAAATTAAAAAAAGTTTCTATGACTAGTCTTTGATCCTTGAATTAATCTTTGAACTTTTTATCTGTGTATAGCAGTCCCAGTGGACAGGTTACACCTTGGTGGGGAATCGGCAAGTGATGTTTATTCATTTATTTATTTTAAATAGACTTCATTTTTAGAGCAGTAGTGATGTTTGGAGCCCTGGTAGCACAGTAGTTAAGAGGTATGGCTGCTAACCAAAAGGCTGGCAGTTCGAATCTACCCGTTGCTCCTTGGAAACCCTTTGGGGCAGTTCTGCTCTGTCTTGTAGGGTCACTATGAGTTGGAATTGACTCAACAGCAATGAGTTTGGTGTTTGAGTGATGTTTATTTTAAATCTTGTTTCATGTCATCACCTTCACCTATCAGATATCAAGAATAATTTGAAAGCTGTATTAATTAGGACAGTTTGGTATTGGAACAAGTTTTCCAGTGCAGTAGAAGAGAGATTTAGAAACTGACCTGGGCTTGTATGGGACTTCATGAGAGGTGGCACAGTAGGTCAGTGGAGATAGAAGGTACTATTCAATAAATGGAGCTAGAAAATTTTGTTATCCATCTGGGCAAAATGAAAGCGGATCATTACCTCATGCCATACACAAAAAAACAATTCCATGTAGATTAAGGATGTAAATTTTAAATGCAAAAATGATGAAAATACAGGCTTTTCTATATCTTTTCTAATATCTGTCTCACCTATGAGATTTTTTAAGCAAGACACAAAAAGTACCATCTTTAAAGAAAAGATTGATAAATTTAACTGCAATAAGATTAAAGAACTTCTCTGTTGATCAAGTAATACCTTCCATGAAAGAGAACAGACAGTCCTCAAACTAATATATGTAATACATTTTAGGGGTGGTAGAAAAACTGGAGGGTAAAGTAGAGGGTTATGGAAAATGAAGGAAACTCTCAATGAGATGGATTGACACAACAACCAAAACAATGAACTCAAGCATACCAATGATCATGAAATGACGCAAGACTAGGCAACTTTTTGTTCTGTTATACATAAGGTCATCATGAGTCAGAGCCAACTGTGCAGCACCTAACAACAACAACAAAAAAATGGGATAGAGGAGGTATCCTTTATAGGTAGGCATAAGATATTAGCAGTGTTTTAGTTCTGTTTTGGGAGTTCATAGGTATTCATCATAAACATACACATAAATAAATAGGCAAATAAGCCAGACATGGACAAATGATCTCAGCATATCATGAACCAAGGATTATAATTAATCTAGTTCTATCAGCTGAGTTCCCATTACATTCCACAGAAAAATCACAAAGACTAAAACATGGTTTGTTTTATCCCAATCCATTAATAAAAAATCCAGTGGGTGAAGGGGAAACACCTTCCCTAGGATACCTTCCCCAATGACATGTATTTCTTTGGAAAGAATTAACCCAGCTCTTCTAAATTGTACTTCTACCATTTACATATGTCTCTGGTTGCACATACGTCACTATACTGTAGGCGAGACACTCATCAGCCTATCTCACCTACTAGTCTGAAGATTTATTGACACTAATTTTTTAGTCTCAACTTTACATTCTTTATACCTGCCACCATACGTGCTTAATAAATGTTTATTGAATGTATAAATGAGTAAATGAGCCAACAATATGAGATATCTTATGTTAAATATTTCTATATATAAAGTACCATAGGGCTACAGAGGATAGAAATATAAAATGACTGGCTACTATCCATTTTGATAGAAGCTCTATTCTCAAAGATGCCTTGAAATAATTAAGATAGTCAAATTTCAAGTCTTTCTTATGCTTAATGTTGCTGGGACAAGTACAGAGATGGTCTTTTTCTCATCTGCTTCTCACATTTCCTCAGTGATACCTGATATTTAATAAAAAACCTATTATTTGTTCTTTAAGTAAAGATCAAAAGCTTGAATAAAAGTAAATCTAGTTTGAATGAGTTTCAGTATCAGTAAAAATATTATCTATCTTTTTCTAAGGAGAAACCTGCAATCACTGGTAAAGGAAATTAGGGTTGAGGGAAGAGAGCTGGGAATCAAGAAAAGACCCTGCAGAATGGAAGATAAGCTTCTTAAAACTCACACTTTTAGCTGAGATCTGCCCCTGTTTAGATTATCCACACAGAGAAATAGTTGCTGTGAACTATACCTGACCTCCCACCTTCAGAATAGCAATGCACTTGACATTGATTTTAGATGGTGTTATCTAGTGATCATGATTACTTACTTTTTTAAAAACAAATTTTTTGTTCTTTAGGTGTTTGCAAATACTTCTAGATGATGAAGGTGATGACTTTGAAGAAGTATTTTCTATTTGTTTTAATGTGAGTAACAATAAAAACCAGATCACAGATCAGCTTTAATCTGATTTACCTAAACACACACCCTTTACTTTTTAAAAAAAAAATTCTTAACTGAGCTAGTGAAAAGGTTTTTTTTTTTCCTTATTTTTTCATGAGCTGAGTGTACTGGTTAGATTTTACTGCATAACAAACAACCCCAAAATTTAGTGGCTTAAAACAACAAACACAGTTCTGTGGGTTTCTAGACTGGGCCAACTTGGCGTGGCCTCACATACCTTGCAGTTGGCAGGCTGGTTGGTTTACGGGTCATCAGCTGAACAGTTTGTCTCTGTTCCACATGGTCCTTTATTCTCCAGTAAACTAGCTGAGACTTTTTCACATGGTGGTCTTAGGGTTACAAAGAGTAGTAAGAGATAGCAAGCCCCAACACATAAGCAGCTTTTCAAGCTTCTGCTAGTGTCAAATCCCACCAGCCAAAGTAATTCACATGGCCACACGCAGATTCAAGGGGTGAAAAATAAACTCCACAGATTGATGGGAGGTGTTGAAGAGTCACATGGCAAAGGGACATAAATATCAGGATGGAAGGAATATGTGGCCATTTTTGTAGTCTGCCGTATTGGGTTTACACTGTATAAAGTGCATACTGAGCAAGAAATCATTAAAAAGACAGGAAGGAATGAAAAGACCAAAATGGATGTCAGAAGAGACTCTAAAACTTGCCCTTGAATGTAGATCATCTGAAGCAAATGGAAGAAATGATGAAGTAAAAGAGCTGAACAGAAGATTTCAAAGGGCAGCTTGAGGAGACAAAGTAAAGTATTATAATGAAATGTGGAAAGACCTGGTGTTAGAAAACCAAAAGGGAAGAAATGCTCAGCATTTCTGAAGCTGAAAAAACTGAAGAAAAAGTTGCCTCAAGTTGCAATAGTGAAGGATTCTATGGGCAAAATACTCAACGATGCAGGAAGCATCAAAAGAAGATGGAAGAAATACAGAATCACTGTACCAAAAATAATTGGCCAATGTTCAATCATTTCAAGAGGTAGCATATGATCAAGAACTGATGGTACTGAAGAAAGAACTCCAAGCTGCACTAAAGACATTGGCGAAAAACAAGGCTTCAGGAATTGACAGAATACCAATTGAGATGTTTCAACAAACGAATGTAGCACTGGAAGTGCTCACTCTTCTATGTCAAGAAATTTGGAAGACAGCTGCCTGGCCAACTGACTGGAAGAGATGCATATCTATGCCTGTTCCAAAGAAACGTGATCCAACTGAATGTGGAAATTATCGAACAATATCATTAATATCCCATGCAAGTAAAATTTTGCTGAAGATCATTCCAAAGCAGTTGCAGCAGTACACGGACAGGGAACTGCCAGAAATTCAAACTAGATTTAGAAGAGGAAGTGGAACGAGGGATATCATTGTTGATGTCAGATGGATCCTGGCTGAAAGCAGAGAATACCAGAAAGATGTTTATCATTGTTTTATTGACTATGCAAAGGCATTCGATTGTGTGGATTTTAACAAATTACGGATAACATTGTGAAGAATGAGAATTCCAGAACACTTAATTGTGCTCCTGAGGAACCTGTACATAAATTAAGAGGCAGTCGTTAGAAAAGAACAAGGAGATACTGCGTGGTTTAAAGTCAGGAAAGGTGTGCATCAGGGTTGTATCCTTTCACCATACTTATTCAATCTGTATGCTGAGCAAATACTCCAAGAAGCTGGACTATATGAAGAAAAATGGGGCATCAGGATTGGAGGAAGACTCATTAACAACCTGTGATATGAAGATGACACAACTTTGCTTGTGAAAGTGAAGAGGACTTGAAGCACTTACTGATGAAGATCAAAGACTACAGCCTTCAGTATGGATTACACCTCAACATAAAGAAAACAAAAAAATCCTCACAACTGGACCAGTAAGCAACGTCATGATAAACTGAGAAAAGACTGAAGTTGTCAAGGATTTCATTTTACTTGGATCCACAATCAACACCCATGGAAGCAGTGGTCAAGAAATCAAACGATGCATCGTGTTGGCAAATCTCCGGCAAACGACCTTTTTAAAGTGTTGAAAAGCAAAGACGTCACCTTGAAGAGTAAGGTACACCTGACCCAAGCCATGATGTTTTCAGTCGTCTCAGATGCATGCAATATCTGGTCAATGAATAAGGAAGACCGAAGAAGAATTGATGTCTTTGAGTTATAGTGTTGGTGAAGAATATTGAATATACCGTGGACTGCCAAAAGAATGAACAAATCTGTCTTGGAAGATGTACAGCCAGCATGCGCCTTAGAAGCAAGGATGGCGAGACTTCGTCTCACATACTTTGGACATGTTATCAGAAGGGATTAGCCCCTGGAGAAGGACGTCATGCTTGGTAAAGTGGAGGGTCATCGAAAAAGAGGAGGACCCTCAACGAGGTGGATTGACACAGTGGCTGCAACAATGAGTTCAAGAATAACGATTGCGAGGATGGCACAGGACCAGACAGTGTTTTATTTTGCTGTATGTAGGGTTGCTATGAGTCAGAACTGACTTGATGGCACCTAAGAACAACAGTCATACCAGGTTTACACTGTATAAAGTGAATACTGATACATGGCAATTTTCCAATTTCTTCAGTATGATCAGGTTTTGAAAAAAAATTATTTTTCATTCTCCATGATAAAGTGGTCTTTTTTTTTATTGTTATTTTTTATTTGTACATTTCTGGATAGTTTTATGACAAAAATGTTACATTATTACAAATTCCTTAGGAAAAGATGGTATGCTTCAAGGTGTTTTTGTTAACAATAGATTGTTCAGAATTATTCTGGAGATATTATCTTAGTTCATTTGTGGTTATAGGTCCACTGGGACAAAAATGATGCAGAATTAATTCCTAATGGAAGTTACATAATGGTCGACCAGACTAACAAGTAAGTACAAAGAAATAAAATATTTGTTCTATATATATTATATTTCTTTCATTGGGTTCTAAAAGTTCCTTTTAGTTCTTATAATTTTCCATTCCCATTAGTCATTTATTAATTAGGCAGAAAAGTTGGTGTGTGTTGTGTGCCTGTATCCTTCTTTATCCTCTTATTCTGCTTTACTTTTTTTTTTCTTTTCATGTAACACATTACCTTTAGGATTTATTTGTTTGTGTATCTGTCAATGAATCAGTGTTTCCCCACAGTAGTGAAAGCTTCAGGGTCTTGGTCTGTCTTATTTACTACTGTACATCCAGTACCTAGAGTAGTAGTCAACATAGTGCCTGGTACATAGCAGGCACTTAGTAATTATTTGTTGAAGAGGTTACTGTGGTATCTGGACTTCCCAATACCTGTGGGAAGCTATTTAAAGCCATTGAGTTTGAAATTATAGGACATTCCCTTGATAGTTGATCAAAGTGGTAAAGAGATTATCTAGTGAGTATTCTGACCTAAGCCAAACATTTTTCTTTAATTTTTTAATTTTAGGTTTTTCAAAAAAACTTAGAATATACATACAGAAAACAGCACAAATCATAACTGTAGAGTTCAGTGATTTCACAAAGTGAACACACCTGTGTAATTACCAACCAGATCAAAATATAGAACATTTCCAGTTGTATATATATATTTTTTAATGACCCTTTCTATTTCAGTTGGGTCCATTGTAATGTCCCCCATTTCATTTCTTATTTGGGTTATTTGTGTCCTCTCTTGTTTTTCTTTTGTTAATTTGGCCAATGGTTTGTCAATTTTGTTGATCCTTTCAAGGAACCAACTTTTGGTTTTGTTGGTTCTCTTGTTTTTCTGTTCTCTATTTCATTTATTTCTGCTCTGATCTTTAATATTTCCTTTCTTCTGGTGGCTGTGGGTTTCTTTTCCTGTTCTCTTCCTATTTGTTCAAGTTGTGTAGCTAATGTTTTGATTTGTCCCTTTCTTCTTTTTTGATGTCTGCATCTATTGCTATAAATTGACCTCTGAGTACTGCCTTTGCTGTGTCCCAAAGGTTTTGGTATGATGTATTTTCATTCTCGTTTGATTCTAGGAATTTTTTTATTCCATCTTTGATTTCTTCTATTACTGCATGGTTTTTAAGCAGGTTGTTACTCAGTTTCCATGTATTTTTTTTTTCCTTGCTCTTCCTGTTATTAATTTCTACTTTGATGGCATGATCTGAGAAGATACTTCGTATTATCTCACTGTTTTGGATTTTGTTGAGGGTTGCTCTGTGGCTGAAGATGTGGTCTATTCTGGAGAACGTTCTATGTGTGTTGGAAAAGAATGTGTAGTTTGCATCTGTTGGGTAGAGTGTTCTGTATACGTCTGTGAGGTCAAGTTGGTTGATTGTGGCCTTTAGATCTTCTGTATCTTTGTTGAGTTTCTTTCTAGATGTTCTGTCCTTTTCCAAGAGTGGTGTGTTGACGTCTCCTTCTATTATTGTGGAACTTTAAATTTCTCTTTTCAGTGCTGTTAGTTTGTTTTATGTATTTTGGAGCCCTGTCATTGGGTGCATAGATGTTTATTATGATTACGTCTTCATAGTGGATTGTCCCTTTAATCTTTATATAATGTCTTTGTCTTTTATGGTGGATTTTGTTTTAAAGTCTATTTTATCTGAGATTAGTATTGTCACTCTTGCTCTTTTTTGGTTGCTGTTTGCTTGATACATTTTTTTCCATCCTTTGATTTTTAATATATATACATATGTCTTTGTTTCTAAGGTGTGTCTCTTTTAGACAGCATATCGATGGGTGCTGTTTTTTTAACCATTCTGTCACTCTCTGTCTCTTTATGGGTGCGTTTAAGCCATTTACATTCCGTGTGATTATTGATAGGTGTGAGTTTACTGCTGTCATTTTGTAGTGCTTTTTTTTGGTGGTGCTGACGTTTTCTTTGTTCCTCTTACTCTCCTGTGCTGAATTCCTTTCGTCTGTGGATTTTGTTCGTTTGTTTGTTTCTTTTCTAGTTGCATAATATTATATTGTATGACTATATCACAATTTGCTTATCCATTGTATTACTGATGGACATAATATGTTTCTGGTTTCGGGCTGATATGAATAATGCTTTTGTGAATACTCTTGTATGTGTTTTTGTTGTTGCTTATGTGCATACATTTCTGTTGGTATATAACTGGAAGTAGAATTGCAGGGTGTGTTATGGTGGCCTTATGCAGGATAGAACCAATTCTCCCACCCAGAATTCGTTTGGATGCTGATACTAATGATGCCACGTGTATCATAAAAGAGTATGAAAAGATTTATTATTCACATAGTGAGGCTTTCCAGGGAAATCGGAGCAGGCACCCAAGCTGGTCTATTTAGTGTGAGGGAAGGAAGAGACAGATGGCTCTGGTTTTTATTGTGGTTAGGGTGTGGGGCTAGGATGAGGGTTTCTGCGCAGGCCAGACTTGCATGGTGTAAACTTCGCCGATGGCACAAAAGAAGAGAGTGTGCAGGCTTTCTTACTGGGTTGTGCAGATGTGGAGCAGAAGGGGTAGGGGGAGGAGTGGGACCTGAAAGCTGCCAGCAGTCAACATCAAAAAACGGAGTCAAACTCTTTATTATACTGAGTCATAGACTTTGCTTATGTTTAACTTTAATAGATATTGCAGGACAGTTTTATAAAGTGGTTGTATCAATTTATATTTCCATCAGCAAAATATGAACATTCTTATTGCTCTGTATCCTCTTTAGTACTTTGTATTGTCAGTCTTTTTAATGTTAGCCATTCTGGTATATGGTAATATTTCATTGTGGTTTTTCAGTGATGCTCTTTTAAGGTAGTGTGTCTGTTCTCTGGCTGATTTTAATATTTTCTCTTTGTCTTTGATTATCCAGCAGTTTCATTATGATATGCCTTGGTGTGGTTTTGTTTTTATTTATCTTGTTTGGTGTTCATAGTTTTTAAATCTGTGACTTGATGTCTATTCAGTTTTGAAAAAATCCTGGCTATTATCAACTTTCAAATCTAAATGAATACTGACTTCCCAATTCTTTCTCTCTCCTTCCATTCTAGGACACCAATTAGATGTGTCCTATATACCCTTTGGAAACCCTGGTGGCATAGTGGTTAAGTGCTACGGCTGCTAACCAAAAAGGTTGGCAGTTCAAATCCACCAGGTGTTCCTTGGAAACTGTATGGGGCAGCTCTACTCTGTCCTATAGGGTCACTATGAGTTGGAATCAACTCGATGGCAGGTTTGGTTTTTTGGATAATTCTTTAGTTTTATCCACCCCACCTTCTACATTTTTCTATCCTTTTTGCTCCTTGTGCTTTAGTGTATAAATTTTCTACTGACATATCTTCTACTTCTCTTACTTCTTCAGCTGTATAAAGTCTGCTGTTAAGCCCATTTACTGAATTGTTAATTTTGGTGATTGTGTTTTTCAATTGTTTGATTACTCTTAACATTTCCATTTTCACTTGAAATTCTTCATATTGCCATTTCTTTCTCTGAACATATTAATCAATCATTTATTTTAGTATCCTGTCTAATAATGCTAGTATTTTGGTCACCTATAGGTTTGTGTCTATTGTCTTTTCTTTTTTCTTTGTCCTTTTTTATGGTACATCTGGTGATTTGATGGAATGCTAGACATTTTATATAAAAAATGGTAAATGTTCTGAATGATGTTATCTTTCTCCAGAGACGATTCACCCTATCCTCTGGTAGGCAGCTAAAGTAACGAGGATCACCTCAATTCAGTTAAGGACTAAGCTGATTTGAGGCAGGATTGCAGTCTTTGTAAGGCTCAGTCTGCCTTTGATTCACCTTTACTCCTAGACTGTAGCTCTCCAGCGATCTCAGCTAAGAGCCTACAATATTTATTAGGACCCATTTCTCTTGGAGGATCTTGAACTTTGGTTTTTGTTTCCTTAGCATCATGAGACCCTTGAAAATTCTCTTTTGTTTTTCAGCTGCTTTCTGCTTAGTTTATTTGCCTCTTCCTTGCATAGCTTAAGAATTTAGCAGATGCCTCACAGGGAAAACTGCTGAGGGCCTCGCTAATTTCTTTGTACCTCCTTTCTCCCAGAGTCCTTGGTCTCTTAATCCTGGTTATTTTGGTAGACTCAAACTTAAATTTTTACACCCAGCCCTGTGAAATTGCTAAAACTTCTACTGACTTCGCTGCGTCTTAACAATTACTTTCTGCTTGGCCCCTTTACCTCCATCAAGAATGGGCAAGTGCCCCAAAGGGGAAAACAGCAAGCAAAATGCAGGGCTCACCTCAGCGAGCTTGTTTTCTCTCTACAGTCTTGGCCTCTTGAGCTTTGACTCATATTTGGAAGCCTTGAGCCCGATGTGTTTGTGTTTTCATCCGGCTTTCCTAGTTCTTTTCAGTTGGCACATTTGTCTGCTAGATGTTACCCCATCATAGCTAGAAGTGGAGATCCCCTCTTTGTGTTTAACCTCAAATACTATTAGTTATTCACTGTGACAAATTCAGACAATACAGAAGAGTATAAAACAAAATATGAGATTTCCCTTATTTCCCAAGCCTGTTCCCCAGAGGTAATCACTGTGAGCAGGTCAGGTTGTATTCTTCCAGTCTTTTTCTCTTCTAACCTAAGTCTCAATTCTCTTGACTGTGTGGCCTTGAGCAATCATTTAACTTCACTGTCTCGGTTTCCTCTTCACTAAAATGTGCATAATATAAAAAATCTGCCTCAGACAGTTGTTAGGGAGATTAAATAATATTTGAAAGATAACTATAAGCGGTCATAACTATTAGGTGTTCTAACTTTTACTTGTTTCCCCGCCCCAAATTTTATTCAGAGTATTGCAGTATGTTGAAATAACTTTTTGTTTCACTAAAGGAGAGAATATGTTTCAAAGTATGTCGATTACATCTTTAACGTCTCTGTAAAGGCAGTTTATGAAGAATTTCAGAGAGGATTTTACAGAGTGTGTGACAAGGAGATTATTGAAATTTTCCATCCTAAAGAACTAAAGGATGTGATTATTGGAAATACAGACTATGACTGGGAAACATTTGAAAAGGTACATCATAAAAGCCAAGTTGTGTAAATTTGATTTTCTTTTCTATTTCCTAAATAAAATGTTTTTTGCATTTTTCTCTAGAATGCATGTTATGAAGACGACTATAGTGATTCACATCCCACCATAGTGATGTTTTGGAAGGCTTTACACAAATTGACTTTGGAAGAAAAGAAAAATTTCCTTCGTATGTATTATATCAAGGAGTAGATCTGTAATCTTGTATTTTGTTTGTTTGTTTTAATGGGATAAAAATCTCATTTGTAATAGAGACCATGTGTAACATATTTGTAGTAATTAGTGTCAGAGACACTTCTAAGTCCAATCAAATGTTCTCTATGCCAGATTGTCCCCAACAATAAACAAATATTAATATAGGTGATCATTTTCCCTGTGATTTCATCCTTGCCTCTTGCTTTTTAAATTGTCTTCTTTTCTTCACCTAAGCTAAGTATTAAGCCTTCTTTCCATAGTCTCTGTCATCATTCAGTTATCCAGGTCCTGTGGGATTAGTCAAACTATATAGTATCACTGACTCCAAGTCTTTTTTACCTAACATTCCAGATTCTGATCTGTTCATGCTTATTCAGTGGTTTTCCTGAGACTAGTTTAATGAAGTTCTCATTTTCTTACTCCATTTCTTTAGTTTTTTTGAGAAAACACTTTTCTCGTTCTTATTTTTGTGGATAGTATTTGTGTTAAAAGATACTTAGACTTCTCCTTTCCTGTCTTACCTCTTCTGGGAAATCTTCCCTGTGGCCTAACATTTCCACTGTCTGTACATTACAGAGCTCTCCTTGCACCTTCATACCTGCAGGCTTCTTTGAAGTTCCTTCCTGAACTGCTTTGAACCTTCACTCACTTCTTTATTGCCTCTCTAAACCTTTTGCCTTCTTAACCCATTGCTGTCAAGTCGATTCCGACTCATAGCGACCCTATAAGACAGGGTAGAACTGCCCCGTAGGGTTTCCAAGGAGCAGCTGGTGAATTCAAACTGCCGACCTTTTGGTTAGCAATCTTCGCTCTTAACCACTGTGACACCAAGGTCCCTTTTCCCTTCTTAAAGGCCCAGGTTAATTCTAAACACTGGAAAGTCTCTCCAGTAATCCCAGGCTGGCTCTCTCTCTGCTCTTTATCACAAAATTTACACTCAGGAGGTACTTAACTCCATTGTACCATGTTTGGCTGTCTTATACCTTTTAAATTTTCTCTTGCTTTATGTCTTTTTCTGCACAAGAATCTAATATTCCCAACCAGACTGTAGGCTGCTTGAGGGCAGTGACTGTGTGTCAAACTTTATGCTAATACAGTCCCCAATGCACTTATGAAGGTAGGACTCTGCACATGGGCCCTCAATAAATAGTTTTAAATATACAGATTTTTCTCTATAGAAAGATTTTATTCTCTGCGTGAAACATATCTCCCAATTTTATTCTTCTTTTTAGTGTTTCTTACAGGAACTGACAGACTACAAATGAAAGGTTTAAAGAATATGAAGATAACATTTTGCTGCCCTGAAAATTTGAACGAAAAAGATCCCATAAGAGCACAGACATGTTTCAGTATCCTCTACCTCCCTAAATATTCAACAATGGAAAGAGTGGAAGAAGCACTTCATGTAGCCATCACCAGCAACAGAGGATTTGGCTGATCCTTTATCACATTTGTAACTTCTTTCTGTAAATATTTTAAAAATGAAATTAAGAACTCAAAAATTAACATACAAGTCTTGCTCACTGTCATGGATTGAATTGTGTCCCCCAAAAAAATCTGTGTATCAGTTTGGCTAGGTCATGATTCCCAGTATTGTATGATTGTGTACCATTTTGAAATCTGATGTGATTTCCCTATGTGTTGTGAACTCTATCACTGTGATGTAATAAGATGGATTAGTGGCAGTTATGTTGATGAGGTCTACAAGATTAGATAGTGTTTCAAGCCAGTCTCTTTTGAGATATAAAAGGGAGAAGTGAGCAGAGACATGGGGACCTCATACCAACAAGAAAGCAGAGCCAGGAGCAGAGCGCATCCTTTGGACCTAAGGTTCCTGTGCTGAGATGCTCCCAGACCAAGGGAAGACTGATGCATCACAAGGACCTTCCTCCAGAGCCAAACAGAGGGAGAAATCCTTCCCCTGGAGCTGATGCCCTGAATTTGGACTTGTAGCCTATTAGATTGTGAGAGAATAATTTCTCTTTGTTAAAAGCCATCCACTTGTGGTATTTCTGTTATAGCAGCACTAGATGACCAAGACAGAATTTGGTACCAAGAGTGGGGTACTGCTCTAACAGATACCTAAAATGTGGAAGTGGTTTTGAAACGTGAATGGATATAGGACTGGCAGCAGCAGAGAACCAGCAGCAGCAGAACCAGACCAGTGCCAGATGGCGCTGAAGCCAACCCATGGAGCGAGAGAGCTGAGTGCCTGTGCACAGGAGGCTTCCTGGTGGAGTGCGATGCCTCCAGGCGCTTATCCATGGAGCTAGGCTTGCCGACCCATGGAGCGAGAGGGCTGAGTGCCTGTGCGCAGGAGGCTTCCTGGCGGAATGGGGTGCTTCTGGGCACTTATCGGTGGAGCTACCAAGCTTTGGAACACTTGCCCCAGCAGGGCAGATGAGGGCATGAGGCCTGAGGGCTGAGAGGCCATAGGAAGCAGAAGCTGAAGAGACAAGGAACACAAGAAGCCGAGCTGCCTCAGTCTCAAAAGATATGGCCATGACCTCTGGAGCTTCAAAGGTTGGAGCCATGGCCTCTGGTGTTTCTAAGGGTGGAGTCTCTGCTTAGATGGACTAGGAGAATGGTGCGCCTAAAGTTGAGGGAGCTGAGTTGCTGTCCCAGTGGGCCTGGAAGGCGGAGCTGAAGCCCAGGGCCAAGGGACCTCCACTCAGAATCTGGAGAGTGTGGCCAGTACCTCGAGTCTGGAGGGCAGGGCCATTGTGTAAATTGTCTCAGAGAAGAGAGGTTTATTTTCAAAGCCTTGATGGCTAATGTAATGTGTTCTGCTGACTTGTTTGGTGCCTGTTATGCCTTCTTTCCCTCCAGTTTCTCCCATTTGTAATGGAAATGTCTAGCTTGTACCTGCCTGTTGCACCATTGTACCTTTGGAAGCTGATAAATTGTATTCTAGATTTCACAGATGAAGAACAATTTTTGGATTTTGGACTTGGAATTGATTTAAGACTTTTGCTATGATATGATGGGGTGAATATGTTTTGCATGTTGCAAGGATGTGATTTTGGGGGGCCCAAGGGGTGGAATGTCATGGATTGAATTGTGTCCTCTCAAAAATGTGTGTATCTGTTTGGCTAGGTCATGATTCCCAGTATTGTATGATTGTGTACCATTTTGTAATCTGAAGTGATTTCCCTGTGTGTTGTATGTTCCATGACTATGATGTAATAAGATGGATTAGTGGCAGTTATGTTGATGAGGTCTACAAGATTAGATAGTGTCTTAAGCCAATCTCTTTTGAGATATAAAAGAAAGAAGTGAGCAGAGAGACATGGGGACCTCATACCACCAAGAAAGCAGTGACGAAAACAGAGTGCATCCTTTGGACCTGAGGTTCCTGCTCTGAGATGCTCCCAGACCAAGGGAAGACTGATGCATCACAAGGATCTTCCTCCAGAGCCGACAGAGAGAGAACGCCTTCCCCTGGAGCTGATGCCTTGAATTTGGACTTGTAGCCTACTAGACTGTGAAAGAATAAATTTCTCTTTGTTAAAAGCCATCCACTTGTGGTATTTCTGTTATAGCAAGACTAGATGACCAAGACAGTCACTAATCAGTGTTTACCTGTACAGCTGCAACTGATGTTCAATGTCTCTAAACATACACTTTAAGTAGGAATTTTAAAATTTATTTTGGCTCTTCTTTTCTTAAGAATTGGCTATTTTTCCATTTTTGGTGCTTAGCTTAGTGAATGATCAATTTCAAAAAGTTCCACCAGGAATAAGACAAGGATACCTGCTTTTACCATTGCTAGTCAACATTGTGCTGGAAGTTCTAGCCAGAATAATTAGGCAAGGAATATAAATAAAAGGCATCCAAACTGGAAAAGAAAAAGTAAACATATCTCTGTCTATATATGTAGACATGATAAATCAAAAACCAAACCCATTGCTGCTGAGTTGATTCCGACTTCATAGGGACCCTGTAGGACAGAGTAGAACTGCCTCATAGGGTTCCAAGGCTGTAATCTTTTCAGAAGCAAACCGCCACATCTTTCTCCCATGAAACAACTGGTGGGTTCAAAACGCTGACCTTTCGGTTAGCAGCTAAGCACCAAACCACTGCACCACCAGTACTCCTTATAGACATGCTAGTATATATAAAAAAGTCATAAAGAAACCACAAAAAAGTACTTGAACTAATAAATCAAGCCAGCAAATTTGCAGATACAAGATGAACACACAAAATCAGTTGTGTTTCTAATACACTAGCAATGAACAATCTGTAAACAAAATAAACCCATTTACAATAGCATCCAAAAGAATAAAATATATAGGAATAAATTTATCCAAGGAGGCAAAAGACATGTACACTAAGAACTATACTATGAACTACAAAATATTGCTGAAAAATCTTAAAGAGGGCCTAAATAAATGGAAAGACATTTCATGTTCATGGATTGGAAGATTTAATATTGTTGAGATGGCAATACTGCCCAAAGCGATCTACAGATCAAATGCAATCCTTACAAAATTCCAGTGAGCACTATTAAGTGTTCTAGAACTCCCATTCTGGGTGCCATGGCGGGAGGGGCCCGAAGCGAACGGGAAGGGGTCTGGGATCAGGATCAGGTCCCCAGGGTGCCGCAGCGGGCAGCAGGAGGGTTCAGGAGCCAGCGGGAAGAGGTCTGAGGTCTGGGCCGTGTCCCCTCGGGATGGCGGGCTGCGGGGCAGAGGTAGGAGCGGGGGGCGGGGGGGCGCCAAGGCAGGGGCAGAGGGGGCTAGATGGAGGAGGGCAATAGGGTGGGTTAGTACTCTGGTTTCTGGCAGTGTGGGTTGCCGAGATGAGTGGTTACAGCCGCTGTTCACCAGATAGGTGGAGATTGTAGGAGCCTGCTCCTGTGGTTACCCAGTAAGAGAGTCCTTGATTTGCAGCCAGCAAACGTGGTCTTACCTAGTCCTGGGTGTGTCCGCACTATACCTCTATCTCCTATTGGGAATTCTATGGAGGTGCAGAAATGGGTGTGTGCGCACTGTATCTCTATCTCCTATTGGGAATTCTATGGAGGTGCCTTTCTGCATGCAGGGTTGTTGGCTTTATTCCAGAGGGCAATGCTGAGTCATGCGTCTGGTCAGGTATCTCCACTCCACACCTCTATTCCTTTCCTGCTTTCTATCAGTTTCTTCTCGGTATCGTCCAATCTAATACTTTATCCCTTCATTTAAGGTTCAGGGTTCTAGGATTGATGTCTGTTTGTCTGTTTTACTTGTTTGTTTGTTTTTGGTCTTCATTGCCGGGATGACTTAGCGCGTCTGACTAGTCCGCCATCTTCTGGTGTGTAAATTTGAATAATGGTTATATTAGCTGGTCTTCCTTGTAGGCATGTAGATATTATCCTATCACTGACGGCATTGTACTTCAGGATAGATCTTGAAATATTCTTTTTGACGATGAATGTCACGTCATTCCTCTTCAATTTATCATTCCTGGCATAGTAGGCCATATGATTGTCTGATTTAAAATGGCCAATACCAGTCCATTTCAGCTCACTAATGCCTAGGGTATTGATCTTTATGCATTCCTTTTCATTTTTGTAAGTTTTCCTGGATTCATACTTCATACATTCCATGTTCCAATTATTAATGGATGCTTGCAGCTGTGTCTTCTCATTTTGAGTAATGCCACCTCAGCAAATGAAGGTCTCAAAAGCTTGATTTCATTCACGTAATTAAGGTCATCTCTCCTTTGAAGAGGTGGCAGTTCCCCAGTCCTATTTTGAATGCCTTTCAGCCTGAGGGGCTCATCTTCTGGCACTGTGTTAGACAATGTTACACTGTTATTCATAAGGTTTTCACTGACCAATTTTTTCAGAAGTAGACTGCCGGGCCCTTCTTCCTAGTCTGTCTTAGTCTGGAAGCTCTGCTGAAACCTGCCCACCAAGGGTGACCCTGCTGGTCTATGAAGTACTGGTGGCATAGCTTCCAGCATCACAGCAATACACAAACCACCACAGTACGACAAACTGACAGACAAGTGGTGGAAGAGGATACTGAGTGGTTTAAAATAAAAAAGCGTGTGTGTCAGGGTTGTATCCTTTCACCACACGTATTCAATCTGTCTGCTGAGCAAATATTCTGAGAAGCCAGACTATATGAAGAAAAATGCAGCATCAGGATTGGAGAAACACTCATTAACAACCTGTGATATGCAGATGACACAACTTTGTCTGCCGAAAAGGAAGAGAACTTGAAGCACTTAATAAGAACAAAGACGACAGCCTTCAGTATCGGAGTATGCCTCAACATAAAGAAAACAAAAATCCTCACAACTAGACCAATAAGCAACATCATGATAAAACAGAAAATACTGAAGTTGTCAAGGATTTCATTTTACTTGGATCAACAGTTAATGCCCATGGAAGCAGCAGTCAGGAAATCAAGTGGCACATTGCACTGGGCAAATCTGCTGCAAAAGATCTCTTTAAAGTGTCCAAAAACAAAGATGTCACCTTGAGGAATAAGGTGTACTTGACCCAAACCATGGTATTTTCAATCGCCCCATATGCGTGCAAAAGCAGGACAACGAATAAGGAAGACTGAAGAACTGACACCTCTGAATTATGGTGTTGGTGAAGAATATTGAATATACCACGGCCCGCTAGAAGAACGAACAAATCTGTCTTGGAAGAAGTACAGCCAGAATGTTCCTTGGAAGTGAGGATGGCGAGACTTCGTCTCACGTACTTTGGACATGTTATCAGGAGGGACCAGTCCCTGGAGAAGGACATCATGCTTGGAAAAGTAGAGGGTCAGCAAAAAAAGACGAGGACCATCAAGGAGATGGATTGACACAGTGTCTGCAATGGTGGGCTCAAGCATAGCAACAACTGAGAGGATGGAGCAGGACAGGGCAGTGTTTGTTCTGTTGTACATACGGTTGCTATGAGTTGGAATGGAGTGGGGGACACCTAACAACAATATACAGGTAAGGAAATGGAGAAATTAAGTTGTCAGAAGTCTTGCAGCTAGCAAACTAAGGAGCTGGAACCAAGCTGTATAGGTCTCAGAGCCTAACCTCTTGCTACACTGTAAGATCAAAAGCTGCATCACTCCCTGGGAGAGTCAGAGGCAAACATGGGGCCTTCAGGTCCATTAAATGGATCACCCATTCAATTAATGGACATGTCTAAATTACACAATTATTTAAAAGTCCTTGCTACCTCCAAGTTCAGTAAATTAGTTGTGATTTATTATGCACTAGAAATCACAATGCCTGAGTCATATAGGGTAAGAAATAGGAAAACTCTGGACGTTTTGGACGTTAAGAGGCTTAAGCCATTCTTTTCAGGTTCTTAGATTTTATTTTTTAATGAAGGAAAAAAAATGGTCAAAACAAGGTAACAGGAACTTAGATTAAACAGTAAACAAATTAATGCTTTTAACAAAGAGCTTGAAACTTCATTTGGAGATAACCGCGTTACGTCCAAGTCTAAAGCTCTGCGAATCTGAGATCCGGTCACCGGCTCTCCGGCACCCCTGAAGAAAACTCAAGACAGCCCGACTTAAGCATTGGTTTTGTCTGTGGGCGATGGACTGGGCACCATACGCCTCTGGCCCCAGGCAGCGATCCTAGCCGCAGAGCGGGGGCGCAGCAAAAGCAATCAGGTCCCGAACGCCTTCGGAACTAAAGCGTTAGCCTGCGCCTGCTCCGGGGCTGCGTTTCCCAGAGCACTGGGGGGCGGGGACTGGCCAGCGGGGCTCGGTAGAGAAAGGTTTGGGCTGGCTGAGGGTTCGGCAAGCTGAGGTCGCTGGCTGCTGGACCATGCTGACTGCAGCGTGCGGTAGGCTCGTCTCAGCACCGCTGTCCGCCGTCGCCCGCAAGTGGCTGCACGCGTCTGTGTCCCAACTGTCGGCGGACCGGAGGGGGAAGGCGGAGGAGTCGCCCCGTGCCTTGGACCCAGTGTTGCTGGAGTTTCTGGTGTGCCCGCTCTCCAAGAAGCCACTCAGGTGGGAGTTCCCGGGTTCACGTTTCCCTTCGCGGCCTCCTGCAAGAGGAGAGGGCAGGTAGACCGCGCAGCCTCTGACAGCCTTTGGGGAGCCTTTCAGGGCAATTCGTGTGTTCTCCGTTGCCATTTTGTGGGCCCAGGCCCTTCCGGGCTCCCAGGCAGCTCCTCCTGCGACCTGAAGGGCGAAAGGAGACCTGAGGCGAGCAAGCCCCAGACCTCCCAAATGAACCGCCGGTCCGCTGAAATGGATCGAAGCGTTGATAGGTGCTCTAATAAATCACCAGGGTACCTTAAAAAAAAAACAAAAACAAAAAAAACGGTCTCTGGGTACCAACCCAAGTGGACCGAATCGGAATGCCTGGGGGCAGGACCTGAGCATTTGTATATTCTTAAAAGGACCCGAGATGATTCTAGGAGCCCCGTTGTACAGCCAGGTGTATGAACCATTGGGCTGAATTTGGACCAGGCTTTCAAGCCGCCACTGTTTGTAAAGTGGAACGAGAATTCAGGACATGTCCGAGGCGTTCAGATTTTAAAGCTACGGTGATGAAAAATAGGCTAGTAGCTTCCATATTCTTGTGGAATGCCGTGTGTAACTAATGCCTAACAATCTTCTCCGCGTTTAAGCTTTGTTTGCTTCCTGTTGGCTCTTAGCTCTGGAGTAAAATGGTTATTGTAAAAACTAACTTTTAACATAGTCTTTGCTAAAGCAGCTCTACAGTTCCAGCTGTTAAATCTGAACATTGACAACAGTAGTGTTACAAATTGCATAAGCTAAACACCAAAATGTTAACAGTGATTATCTTTGGTTGCTAGATTGCCGGTAATTTTTATTTTCATCTTTTTGCATTTCTGTTTTACTGGTATTTCCTATAATTAACATAACGTTCATTCCATTTTTTTAAACCTTGAAATTATTGTTGGCGCTATCTTTTAGCTAATTGTGTAACTAGCTCCCTTTAGACTTGATTCTTTTCAAAGTTTCCTCATTTCTGCCCTCCCATCTTAAACTTTTGTTTTGAATATTTTGATTTTTCAGAGGTTTTTTTCTAGTGCATCAGTTAGGTTACTGTATTGAGCATTTATTCTTAAACCAGGTAATTGAATTTTTCTCTAGTTTCTGTTCCAGTAGTAAATTGATTGCGATGGTTTTGGGGTTAGCCAGAGGAATAAAGGAATATTTGGATGAAAAGGGGAAATATTTTCTGAGTAGTATGAGAGAAAATTTTTAACTAAGGCATAACTTGGGAATATAGTAAAGAGAGAATTTGAGAGAAATTGACTAAAATGGAAACAATTACAGATTTATAAGAGAAATGGTAATATTGGCCATTACTGCTTTTAGAATTAAAGAATACAGTTCAGGATTAACTCTGTCAAGAATTGCATAAATAGGATTATTTATTGAACTTCAAGCTCTTCCAAGAGTTTTGTTTTACAAAACTCGCTTTGTGATTCTTATCTTTTTTCCTAGATATGAAGCATCGACAAATGAATTGATTAATGAAGAGTTGGGAATAGCATATCCAATCATTGATGGCATTCCTAATATGATACCACAGGCAGCTAGGATGACACATCAGCATAAGAAGAAAGAAGAAATGGAGCAGCACTAAACCATAATTTAAAAAAGAAACAAACAACTAAATTGTCTTAATATCATTTACCTTTTAAAAAGTCAGGGTGACAGGGTAATAAGTGTGGAAGAAGAATGTTTCTGTCTCTTCCTACGTTGACTGTCCTTATTCCACTGGTTTCGTTAGCAGGACTGTTCTACTCAGCCTCTGTGGAAGAAAATTTCCCTCAGGGTTGCACTAGCACAGCCAGCCTCTGCTTTTACAGTCTGCTCTTGCCAATTACCATACCAGTTTATGTGTTCTTCCACCTTTGGACTTGGATGGGTATTAAGCTCTTCAGACATAATTAATGCAACCAGAGCCAAGATGGCCTTGGGCCTCTTTCTCTGAAAGTTCAACTAGATTGAAATACCAGAATTCCACTTAGTTTGCAAGAAAGATACTTTGCCTCGTTTCTGTCAGAAGCTTAGGACTATGGGAGGCTTAAGCTGCAGGAGCTTTTATTGTAGTCTTGTTCTGCCCTTACTTTTTGAAGGTTTTAATTTATAACAACAGCTACTGTATCAGAAGAAACGTTTTGACAAAGTGTCTTGTTGGAGATTAACAGTCCCAATCATCAGATGATAACTTTATTCCTTATCCCACTCATCTAAAAGTTAGTCATTTGAAATATTGTTTATTTAGATTCAAGCTCTTTAGTTAAGTCACATGCTGGGAATTACTGAAATAATTCCAGAGGAGCTGTGCTAGAATAGTTGTAGAGAAATGCCTTTGAACTAGTGTGATGATAAAACCTTACAATAAAATGGAAATTTCACATAGCTGCAAAAATCTTAGTTTGTAAAATTATGTTCATTTCTTTGCCATCAGAGGTTTACATTAATAATAATAAAATAAGATGTCAACATTTACCCATAGAAAAAGTTGGTAGTAGTGCTTTTTGTCACAAGTATGTGGTATAAAGTGAGAAAAATGGTTAAAATTTCCAGATTTTAAAATGTAGGTTATGTTTTGAGACACGTAGTTTGGACATGCTGTCAGGAGGGAACAGTTACTGGAGAAGGACATCATGCTTGGTAAGGTAGAGGGTCAGCCAAAAAGAGGAAGACCCTCGAGATGGATTGACACAGTGGCTGCAACAGTGGGCTCAAACATAGCAATGATTGCGGGGATGGTGCAGGACCAGGCAGCGGTTCGTTCTGTTGTCCATAGGGTCGCTATGAGTTGGAAGTGAGTCGAAGGCACCTAACAACAACAACAACGTTTAGAGATGCATTTAATACGTAAAATAGAAACATTTCCCAGGAAAGTGGACTTTACATTGTACCTTTGGAAGATGGGAGGACTTGCAAATAGCCGATTGTGCCCTGTTGAGCTTAAAGTCAAGTTTCAGTTTTATTTTCCTGACCTAATCAGGAGACATGTTTAGCACTACTAAGGACATGCACACTTGACACATTGATAACTCCTGATTTTCCAGAAATCTTTAAACAAGACTAATTGAGTATGGTACAGTAACTATTTCAGAGGTATAACAAATGTTTCAGTAGTTATTCTAAAAAAAAACTAAGACATAATTCTTATTAGAATCTTAAAGTAGTTAACAGAAGCTTTGGACAGTGATGCTTCTTCAAGAGAATTAAAACATGAGATGCATTTTCTGCTTTATTAAATGTAAACTGTAGTAAAAATAACATTTTTAAATTACCCTATGACAATATACAAATAACCTGGAAGACTATAGAGGTTCCCAGTCATTTCCTGGTGAGGACTTGTATTTAATTGACACTAAATCTCATGATTAACCAACTTGAGAAGTGTGGTCACTGTAAGTGAAACAATTTGCTGGCAAAACAAGCAGTGTATTCTGAAAAATCAGTTCCATCTTTTGCAAGTTAAAAAACCAGGTGCTGCCAAGTTGATTCTGATGCATGGCAACCCCATGTGTGTCAGAGTAGACTGCATAAACAGTTTTCGGTGGCTGATTTTTTGGAAGTAGCTCGCCAGGCCTTTCTTCCAAGGTGCCTTTGGGTGGACTCAAACCACCAATCTTTGGGTTAGCAGGGAGCACATTATCCCTTTGCACCACCCAGGGACTCCTCTGCAAGTTAAGCATTTTGTTAACCTGGAGGAAACTGATAAGCAAGCTCCTGGGGTGTTCACTACTCCATACTAAAAAAAAATTTATTTAGCAAATGCTTCTACAGTACAAACTACACCAAGTATAAACCAAAAACCAGTTGCCGTCGAGTTGATTCTGACTCACAGTGACCCTATAGGGTAGGAAATATGAGTACCATTAAACACATGGGGAAACTGAAGCACGGAGAGATTAAGTGAATTAACCAAGGTCACACAGCTAGTAATTGGACTGAAATTCGAATCCAAGGCCATCTAACTTCAGTTTGTCTTCTTAACCACTATTTAATGTGCTTTATTTTGAGTAAATTCATCTTTTCTGTTTAAAAAAAAGGATAGAATAAGGAATCAGAATCCTAGCATTCTGTTTCCTACTCAAGACTGGATTAGGTGCCCCTCTGATTGTGTTCCCAAAGTACCATAAGCTTTATTTCTATACTAGCACTTAACATACCAAAAAAAAAAAAAAAGTTACTGTTGAGCTGATTCAGATACGTAGGATAGAGTAGAACTGCCCCATAGGGTTTCCAAGGAGCAGGTGGTGGATTAGGACTGCTGACCTTTTGGTTAACAGCCTGAGCTCTAAACCACTGCGCCACTAGGGCTCCTGTATAATTGCTTGTTTTTTGTCTCCTGTCTAGACAGTAAACTTCTTGCTCAACATTTTTGAGCTAATGTTTAGCAGACAGTAGGCAATCAGTAAGTACTTTCTGAGTAAACAGGTAGCCCTGGTAGGTCCTATAACTTTAGGCAAGTCACTTAACATCTCTGAGCCTCATCTTTAGGGCTAGAAGTTCCCTACTTTCATAAAGTTGTGAAGATTGAATTAGATTTTACAAATCAAAGTACTTTGTAAAAGATTAATATCGACTTCCGGAATGCCAGCATAAGGAGCTCCATAGACTTGTTCCCCGGCAAAACAAGCATAACTGGTGAAAATTTTAAAACCATTTAAAGTCTCTGGAAATTGTCCTAAAGATATAGAACAAATGAAGAAGCATTTATTCAAGAAAGAACAGGGAGTCTGGACCACGACCCACTTTCCTTCCCAGCTCAGATGACAGAAACTCGACTTCAAGAGAGTGCAGCCAAGAACACAAAATTCTCCCAACTCTGGGTCAGGTGCTACAATATCTTCTCAAGTGGGGAAGGCTGCCAGCATTTCTTGTGTCTCACCCACAGCCATGTGTTGCAGAGGCTGAGTTCCAGGTGAGTAGAGCCCAGAGGTCAGGGCTCTTTTCTTTTACACAACTCTGGTTCATAGGGTGGAACCTCTACTTCTGGTATGACATGCTGGCAACCCTGGGGCCCAGTTGACCTCACCCCAGGTTATTCATAGGGCAAAGATTCTATATCAGGAGAAGCAAGCTGAGAAAACCAGAGGCTGCCCCTTACCCCCTGCCCAGTGCCATGCTCTTAAGGCAGGGATGTCAGAGAAGCATGCCACTGTACTCACCCCCAGCTTGAGAGCTGTAGCTCAGAGATTTTGTCCACATGAGAGGAAGGCCATAAAACAGAGTTCCAAAAGAACTGACTTTATTTGAAAAAGTGTTGGGAAGTTTAAGCCTAAGAATGCTCTAAAAAAATAATAGAGGTTTTGGTGATAAGCAATTAAGAGGAGCCTGTTAGCTTCCTGAGAGATACAAGCTAAATCATAGGCCAGTTAGTTTACCAGAGAAAATCAAAGAAAGCTAAGAGCTTGCCTTGGGTCTGAAAAAACCTCAAACGCTGACCTCAAAAACTACAAAGGAGCCTAATTTAATTGGATCAGATTGTACAGCAATTTATGCCCCAGGATATCATTGAAAATAATAGAGCAGACAACTAGCAGTGTAGCTGTAGGAAAAGAGAAACCTTGGTGGCACAGTGGTTAAAGCACTTGGCTGCTAACTGAAGTTGGCAATTGGAACCTACCAGCTGCTTAGTGGGAGAAAGATATGGCAGTCTGCTTTCATAAAGATTACAGCTTTGGAAACCCTACGGGGCAGTTCTACTTTGTCCTATAGGATCACTGTGAGTCAGAATTGACTAACAGCAATCGGTTTTGTTTTGTTTTGTAGGGAAAGACAGTCAAAGAGAGGTTGATAAAACCACTGTCATCCCATAATGACTGTGTGTTTGCCCCAGGCTGTGCAATCAGAATCAATGTCGGAGGCTTCACACTAGGGGCAAGGGAGGGAGTAAACTTCACTAAAATAGTCCAGCCTGTCACTAAACAAACAAGCAAGAAAAAATAAGTCCAGGAGAGAGGAAGGGAATGAGTATCCAGAATTGCTACAAAACTGTCCAGTTTTTAACAAAAAATTACAAGATGTGCAAATAAATAGCAAAGTATGACCCATACACGGGAAAAAATCGGTCACCAGGAACTGCCAGTGAGAGGGACTAGATGTTGGATTTAACAAAGACTTTAAAGTAGCCATTAAGTCTTTGTTAAATATGTTCAAAGGACTAAAGCAAACCATCTTTAAAGAAGTAAGGTATGATGACGATGTCTCAATAAATAGAGAACACCAATAAAGAGATACAAATTATAAAAAAAGAACCAAATGCAAATTCTGGATTGGAATGTATAGTAACTAAAATGAAAACAATCATTAGAGAGGCTCAACAGTAGGTTTGAAGTAGCAGAAGAAAGAAGTAGCTAACATGCTAATAGTTCAGTAGAGATTATGCAGTCCAAAGAACAAAGTGAGAAAAAAATGATTGAAGAAAAATAAACAGAGCCTCAGAGAAATGTGGGACACCATTAAGCACACCAGCATATGTGTACTAGAAGTACCAGAAGGAGAGAACAGAGCAAAAGGAGCAGAAAAAATATTTGAAGAAATAAAGGCTGAAAACTTTGTAACTTGATGAAAAACTTACACGTCTAAGAAGCTCAACAAACTCGAAACTGAATAGACAAGAGACTCAGGCACATCATAGTAAAAATGCTGAAAGCCAAGGACAAAGAAAAAATATTAAAAGCTGCAAGAGAAAAAGACCAGTCACATACAAGAGAACCCCTCTCACATAAAATTAACAGCTAACTTTTTATTAGAATCAACAGAGGCCGGAAGGCAGTGGGATGCCATAGTAAAATGCTGAAAGTAAAACACTGTCAACCAATAATCCTATATCCATCAAAACTGCGATTAAAAAATGAATGAAAAATAAAGGCATTCCAAGATAAACAAAAACTAAAAGGTCACCTCCTCCCCCCTGCCCCGGAAGATGACCTGCCTTACAAGAAATTCTAAAGGAAATTCTGCAGGCTGAAAGTAAATGATCCCAGATGGTAATTCAAATCCACACAAAGAAAGAACATTAGTAAAAGTAATTATGTAATTATAAAATTTAGTATAAATGAATATTCTCCTTCTCTTATCTGACTTAAAGAGACTTATATAAAGAAACACAAAGAAAGTGGTTAGGAGCAAAGCTGTATTGGAATAAAGAAATGACACCAGATGGCAAATCCACAGGAACAAATGAGTGGTAAATAAGAAGATTAATATAAAAAACACTAACTATATATTTGCTTTCTTTCTTTTCTCAGCTTCTTTAAGAGATATATAACTACATAAAGTAATATGACAATATATAGTTGGGTTTGTAACATATGGAAGTATATGTATAATAATTGCACAAAAAGAAAAAGGAATAGAGCTATATAAAAGTAATGTTTGTATATCTCACTGGAATTAAGTTAGTATACATGTGAAGTAGATGTTGATAAGATATATATGGCAAGCTTTAAAACAACTACTAAGAAAAAAAAAGTAAAAAAATGATTGTGTTGTTAGGTGCCATTGTGTTGATTCCAACTCATGGCTACTCCATGTGTCAGGGTAGAACTGCCCCATAGAATTTTCTTGGCTGTAATCTTTATGGAAGCAGATCACCAGGTCTTTCTCCTGTGGATTAAAATGTTACAATAGAAAATATTCAATTATGTAAAAGAAAGCAGTAAAGGA